CCACACCCGCACATATCCACATACAATCACACACACGCAGCCACACATACAGATAGACATAAAAACACACACACACAGACACACAACACAGACTGACACGCACACTGACTCACAGACAGACACACACAGACACGCACCCAGACACCATACAGACAAACAGTCACACGCCTACACACACATACATACACACAAACGTTTACAGTTACCCATGCATAAAGAGAATCATATATACACATATGCCTACACACGCTAGCATGTCACACATATACGCATACAAACATATCATACGTACTGCAATTAATTATAACTAGTAATGCATTGTGGATTATTAATTACATAGGTGTTATAGAGGCTGTTAGGGAAACCTGAGGCACTATGAATAAACATTTCACCACTACCAGTTCGGCTGATTGTCCTTGGGGCTAAATATCCAGTATAAGATGGTAACAGAAATATTGATATAACCCAATTTTTATGCAGTAAATATCTCAAAGCTGAAAATCAATCATCATCAATTTGGCTTTTAACCTGATATAGTAGATAAAGTATACAGCGATGGATCACTGGAGGAGCTGGTTGGGTCATCATGCTGCAAGATGGGACTACAGAAGGAATAACATGTGCCTCCGGAAAATTCTCCATAAGTTTCAGAGAACAGCATCAAGCAATTATTGATGCAGCCAAAGTGCTTGAGGTAAGAACAATTGAAAAAAAAAAAGGTTTCGCTGTGTGCCTGCATGTCAGTCCTCCAGGCAACTTCAAGGGATCCATGAGACAACTGACCTGCCAGCGAAACAGACTTTCAGAAAACAATCAAATCGTTCTCCTGTGGATCCTGGCTCACTGCGGCATACTAGGAAATGAGTTGGCAGACAGACTTGCAAAAAATGGAACACAAGAGAAACAACACGCCCATTCATTGTCACTACCAGAAATCAAAACACTTATCAAGGAAAAATACAAGGAATTTTGGAGAGAACAAGCTAATAGTAAACATCCACAAGACCCCATCAGCAGACTCAACAGAAAGCAACAAAAACAAATTTTCCGTCCAAGGATAGGATATTGCAGGCTCAAATACCATATGCATAAAATAAATATTTACAGTCCCCACAATGTGCGTGACATTCAATTCCATGCATCGCTTGTGACCGGAATGCTTTCCAAACACTCTCACAAAACGCTCATTTTAAGGCTTTGGCTGCAATTTTCGGCTGTTTATCAGAGGACTAATCAATTTGTTTCCATTTCAGAACTGTGATATTCCCCGTGTGGGTTACGGGGTCCTATTAAAGGGAAAACAATTATAGACCCACTGCCTACCCAAAAGCATGTTGTAGGAGTCGACTAATTGGGAGCTTCCTTCAAAGTCGGAGTGAATCTGCGTAAGATGCTCACGCAACACTCAGGTTCTGGAACAGGACTGCAGTCTAGAAGTGGATGAACAATCAGAACTTTCTGCCAGAGTTTACAGCTGGTGAACGCGAGGAGAAGAAGAAGAAAGACTGATGTATGATTTGTGCTTGTTTTTATAAATATTGTGGTGTAGTTTTATTGCATTGTTAGTATATTCTTGTGATAGCTTGCTAAGTTTTAATTTTGTGACCTGATTTCTGCAATTATGCAGGACACACTAGGGAAGAATACGGTAGCTAGATGCTCCAAAGATGCCCGAGGGACTATTCGGGCCACTCAGGACCAAGGAGACAGATGAGATGGTCAAAGGAATCAAGGACGCTAAGGAAGGGATGGCTATGGATCTCCCCCATGACATCCGCATACATGCGGACATCATAAGACCCATGGTTACTCTGGTGGTGGAGGGGGTGCTAGTGGAAGGAGATATGGGAAGAACTGAGGACGGAGAACCCAGGCCTGGAGATTAAGGAGGTGTCCAGAGTGAGCACCAGTGAAGGCAAGCCGACCAATGTTCTTAAGGTCAGGTGTGGAGGATAGACAGTTCTCAAAAAGGTAAGGGGAGTTTTATCAGTTGTTTGTTCCACCCCTGCCACATTGTGAGAAATGCTGGCGCTTTTTCCACAGCAGGAGAAACTGTCGGACAAAAGAGCCAGCAGCAAGTTCTGTAGGAATAAACACTGGGTAAAGGACTGCGTCAAGGCCAAGAAGGACAGGCAGTACAAGGAGAAGAACCCTGACAGAAGCTGCGTGAACTGCAAAGGGAACCACAGCGCCAAAAACCCAGGATGCCCAAAGAGGAAGAAGGCAATGGGCATTTGAAAGGAGGCTATCATGAACCAGACATTGGTGGCCATGGCCAAATAGAGGCACCACCAGAGGGACAATACAGCTGAGGTTATCACAGGACATGAACCAATCAGGTGTGTGAACAGCAACTGTGGACAAGGACGACCCAATGAGGAAACAGAGGATAAGGAATTGGACTCAAGAGCAGCAGGAGCTAGCAAAGAGGAGGTCAGAAGTCCACCCAGTGTAATCCCTATAGAGGAAGCACGGCTCTCTAAACCCGAACCCACACAGTCTTACCCTTCCCCCCTGTGGGTGACACTGTTGTGCCACCTACTCCTTCCTCCTCTTCCTCTCCCCACCCTCCTTCTCAGATCCCACGATTGCAGCTTGAAGCCGATCTGCATGCCAATATCTCTTTGAACATTCCTGCATGACGGTATCTCTCTGAACATTCCTGCATGCCGCTATCTCTTTGAACATTCCTGTATGCCGGTATCTCTCTGAACATTCCTGCATGCCGGTATCTCTTTGAAAATTCCTGTATGCCGGTATCTCTCTGAACATTCCTGCATGCCGGTATCTCTCTGAACATTCCTGCATGCCGGTATCTCTCTGAACATTCCTGCATACCGGTATCTCTTTAAACATTCCTGCATACCGGTATCTCTTTAAACATTCCTGCATGCCGATATCTCTTTAAACATTCCTGTATGCCGGTATCTCTCTGAACATTCCTGCATGCCGGTATCTCTCTGAACATTCCTGCATGCCGGTATCTCTCTGAACATTCCTGCATACCGGTATCTCTTTAAACATTCCTGCATGCCGGTATCTCTTTAAATATTCCTGCATGCCGGTATCTCTCTGAACATTCCTGCATGCTGGTATCTCTTTAAACATTCCTGCATGCCGGTATCTCTTTAAACATTCCTGCATGCCGGTATCTCTCTGAATATTCCTGCATGCCGGTATCTCTTTAAACATTCCTGCATGCCGGTATCTCTTTAAACATTCCTGCATGCCGGTATCTCTTTGAACATTCCTGCATGCCGGTATCTCTTTAAACATTCCTGTATGCTGGTATCTCTTTAAACATTCCTGTATGCCGGTATCTCTCTGAACCTTCCTGCATGCCGGTATCTCTTTAAACATTCCTGCATGCCGGTATCTCTTTAAATATTCCTGCATGCCGGTATCTCTCTGAACATTCCTGCATGCTGGTATCTCTTTAAACATTCCTGCATGCCGGTATCTCTTTAAACATTCCTGCATGCCGGTATCTCTCTGAACATTCCTGCATGCCGGTATCTCTTTAAACATTCCTGCATGCCGGTATCTCTTTAAACATTCCTGTATGCTGGTATCTCTTTAAACATTCCTGTATGCCGGTATCTCTCTGAACATTCCTGTATGCCGGTATCTCTTTAAACATTCCTGTATGCCGGTATCTCTTTGAACATTCCTGTATGCCGGTATCTCTTTGAACATTCCTGCATGCCGGTATCTCTCTGAACATTCCTGCATGCCGGTATCTCTCTGAACATTCCTGCATGCCGGTATCTCTTTGATCATTCCTGCATGCCGGTATCTCTTTAAACATTTCTGTATGCCGGTATCTCTTTGATCATTCCTGCATGCCGGTATCTCTTTAAACATTCCTGTATGCCGGTATCTCTTTAAACATTCCTGCATGCCGGTATCTCTCTGAACATTCCTGCATGCCGGTATCTCTTTAAACATTCCTGTATGCCGGTATCTCTTTAAACATTCCTGTATGCCGGTATCTCTGTGAACATTCCTGCATGCCGGTATCTCTTTGAACATTCCTGCATGCCGGTCCCAGCATGTTTGTACCCATCAGTCCGAGAAGCTGCTCGAGGTAAGAGCAGAATCACACGCACTTTTGAGGGAGATTGGAATTTAGAGGAGTCGACTGGTGAAGGCAGTACAGGACCTTACTGAGGAACGTACTAAGATGGAAAAGGAAATGGAAAATCAGAGGAAAGAGGAGAAACATAGGGATGAAATAAGGAGACTGATGGAACCGACCGGACAGGCAAAGAAGGGAGAGAACCCAAAAGAGACCACAGAAACTAAAGCAACACCTATTATTAAAAACTAATCTTTAGAAGAGGAAGGAAGTTCTGGAACTCTTAGAATTTAAGATGAACTTTGACAAGAGGATGAGACAGTCTAGCCAGCAAGGAGGAAATGCTGGTGCTGAGGATAAGGGCGAGAGTTGAATGGGATGGGGGGGGGGTTTCATGGTAAGGGTGAGGTCGGTAAGGCCGGGGGCCATGGGCATAAGGTATGGTGGTTAAGGGACTGTGAGGGTGTGGCCCACTGGCGTAAGGTAGATTAGTGGCAGGTGGATTAGGTGACCAGTAAGTGCTGGGTCTGGGTCAGGAGGGTACAGCTGGAGGCGGCTGGTGATGAGCAGCTTTAGGTACATTGGGTCTGGTGGGGGAAGCGTTGGAAGATCTGTTGGACCTTTGCTTCCCTTCTCCTTCCACATAGTCACTGTACAGTCTATAGGGAGGATGAAGCCAGTCTCATGCCAACTCTCTACAGTCTATGGGAGGATAAAGCCAGTCTCATGCCAACTCTCTACAGTCTATGGGAGGATGAAGCCAGTCTCATGCCAACTCTCTACAGTCTCAGAGTACATACACATATGGTCATGTGTTTAAGTGTTTCTATGCTAGGGCTGCCAGTTTGTAACAGGCAGGTGAGCCACTGTGGAGAACTATGATGTAGGAGGCTACTGGGAATTATGTGGTCCAGAGTCTTACCAGTTTCTTCATGCCTTGTACAGCAGCTGGTGTCCAACACAGGCCTAGCATTGTATGCCCACAGCAGAAGCAAATGTTCTGGGTTCAAATCCACTGTCAAGTAATTACCAGTATAACTGTACGACTTGCTCTGTACACTAGTTGTCTGCCTGTAATCACATGAGTTTCAATTATTCCTATCATGTAATCACAAGCAGAAACAAATTAACACATCATAATACATCAATGTCATTAACACATCATAATACATTGATGTCATTAACACATAATACATCAATGTCATTAACACATCATAATACATTGATGTCATTAATACATCATAATACATCGATGTCATTACCACATAGCGGCGTCCGTGGCTTAGGCGTTGCAAGTTCGACTCGTAATACCAACGTACCGTGATCGAATTCAACTGCTGACTGTGTGGATTCTAATCATGGTATGGGGCGTCACAGGTCGACCCAGCCTTAAATGGGTACCAGGATGGGCTGTCCTGGGAAAGTAAAGACGGCCGGCGTAATGCTGACCACATTATCTACATAGTGCTGATGGTCTGGAAAAATATGTAATAATAACGTGGCACAGGAGGAACGGTGAAGAAGGTGAGAGTGTTCAAGATGTGTCGCCTCTTATAGATTATTCTTATAGTCGATGACATGTGGCGCTGGTAGTCAGATCTATTTACAACCTTTTGTCTGGTGTACTTTTAATCAATTCTGACAGAGATGGTCTTTCATACCCAGCATCTTCTCTCTCTGTCTCCCTCTGCCTATTTTTCCCTTCAACATTTATTAAGTGCTGAAGTTATATCCCTTGTTATGGACAAAGATTAATTAAGTGCTGAAGTTGTGTCCCTTGTTATGGACAAAGATTTATTAAGTGCTGAAGTTGTGTCCCTTGTTATGGACAAAGATTTATTAAGTGCTGAAGTTGTGTCCCTTGTTATGGACAAAGATTTATTAAGTGCTGAAGTTGTGTCCCTTGTTGTGGACAAAGATTTATTAAGTGCTGAAGTCGTGTTCCTTGTTATGGACATAGATTTATTAAGTGTTGAAGGTGTGTCCCTTGCTATCTTCACTTATTAATTATCCTGATGTGCTATGATATGTGACATAGTGCTAGCAATCTATTTCTCCATTCTGTTCTCTTCTGTGCAATCACCTTCATGTCAGGGATCAAAGAAAAAACAAGTATGATGACAAAGGAAATCATGAATACAATGATACAAAGATCATCATTTCTCAGATGAAAGAAAGATGAAAAAAGCCCTGTGTATGCACTAATAGACAAGAAAATATGTTACAGAACAGAACGGCTAAAGAGACATGGATTCAGGAGAAATCTTAGGTAATAGATCTACAAAGAAAATGTACCATAAAAAGAAGTGCATGAAAACATTATGAAACTCACAAAGAGGGCAGAACATTCAATAGGAAATTGTTGCATCGGGCTATAAAATTATGGGCAAACTGAGTGTTACATAAAGTTCCTTTTTCGTGAAAATACAAACTGATTTCTGGAAGTAATTTTTCTTTACCAAACCAAGGTGCTCTGTATGATGTTCTGTTCTCTGGAACCAGATCTAATGGATAGATTGTGTTTTTATTTTATTTATATATTACTGTTCCCTGGAACCAGATCTAATGGACAGATTGTGTTTTTATTTTATTTATATATTACTAAGTGGTTCATGTTCATTTGTGCTTTATTCTAGATATATTTGATCGAGTTTTTCTTGAATGCCATTGTGGTAAATGAGAAAAATTATTATTTCTTTTTACTGATTTCTTAAAACATACCATCTGTTGGCTCTCCTGTAAACTACGGCCGGTAGACAACAGCAGACGGCCGGTTAGTCGGAGTTCTGTCACCTGGCTGCAGTGCAAGTACGGACTGGAGACGGCACAAATAAAAAAACAAAGACAGGTCAACATGCCTTGCAGACCCCGCGGTGCGACACAAATTACCAACCGTGTTCAATTACCGCCCCGTGCGACGCAGTACGGAGTGGATTAGAGGGACTAAACAAAGTGACATAATTACTGTGTGTTGGCGATGGATAGCGTGCAGTGCCCTACTGTCATCATACGATTAGAGTTTAGGTTAGGGTTAGGGTTAGGTTTAGGGTTTGAGTTAGGTTCAGGGTTAGGGTTAGGGTTTGGATTGCTATGTTGAGTTTGTGCGAAGACGAGATGCGGCGACACTAACTGTAACCCTAACCCACACCCTAACCCTAATCGTATGATCATAGCAGGGCAGTGCACGCTGTCTATCGCCAACACACAGTAATTATGTCATTTGTTTCATTTCCTCCTGTCCAGTCCGTAATAGCACTGCAGCCAGGGGACAGAACTCCGACTAACTGGCCGTCTACTGTTGTCTACCGGCCGTAGTTTACAGGAGAGCTCATCTAATAAACTACTAACACAATTTATTTCCCTGGTCTCTTTTATATAACATGTGTATGTTGTGTGGCAGTTGAATTAGTATCGTCTGTTTCAATGTATTACACTTGTGACATTTCAAAAATGAATTTCTACCACCACTTGGGCCTCTGAGGCTAAACCCCGTGGGATTCAAAAAGTAAAAAAAAAAAATAGTGACTGCCATAAAATGCATTTAGTCATTTTAGCCGAGATTTGTCTGAGATTAAGATGAGAACCAGACAGGGCACCACAGAGACCAATGCTAAACAGATACAGCAGTAACAGAGCCAGAGGTTGACTGCACAGAAGATGGCCACAGAAACATCAGGGACATTGAAAAGTACTTTATACGAAACGAACATATAGGCCCGTTTATGAGATCTTTACCAAAAGCCACCAAGTAGCAAGGAAGAATATTAACCCGAGGTTAGACAAACACCAAGTGATGAAAGAAGAGCATCCCACATACCTTGGAGTCACACTTGACCCGCAGCTTAGCCTCAAGAACCATATTGAAAACATCAGGAATAAGGCATTGAGGCGGTTACAGTTATTAAAGAGACTTGCAGGTACATCATGGGGATCAGACAAGGAAACTCTGAGGGGCTTATACCTAGGATATGTTCGCTCTGTGATAGAGTACAACAACTCACTGCTTACAACTTGTTCCAAAACTAACCTAGAGACTCTTGACAGAGTACAAAATAATGCCCTCCGATTAATCTGCGGAGCTATGCAGTCTACACCAACTGCTGCATGTGAAATCCATACAAATGTGGAACCCCTCGGGTTGCGGAGAGAAAAAGCCACTTTAGAAATTTATGAAAGATGCGTTAGGAAAAATCGTAACTATCCTAATAGACATCTTGTAGAAAACTGGGAACCCAAACAAAGAATAAAGCACAAATCGGTTTTACACTGTGTTAATGAAATTCAGGACAGATACCACCTCCCAGAAAGATGTCAAGGAATTCAGAATGTTGCAAAAAACCTACCACCACATGCTCGCTTTAAAGCTCCAGAAGTCCAAACTAAATTGGTAGGCGAGGAAACCAAACAGTCCGACCCAATCGCTCTTATCAACTCATCACTAAAGACCGTTGATTCTTACCCCCAAGAATGGATACATGTCTATACTGATGGATCAGCATTTAAAGCTACCATTAAAGCAGGTTACGGAATCTACATAGGTTATCCCGATGGATCTGTTGAAGAGATTTTTGATGCATGCGGGGAATTCTGTTCAAACTATGAAGCTGAAATAATTGCACTGGAAACAGCAGTATACCACCTAAAGACTGTAATGGATGTTTACCCCTCAAAGGTCCAAAATATTGTCATCTTCACAGATTCAATGTCTGCCCTTCAAGCTCTGGAGGGCAATGAACGCTGCAGAACTGACATAGCCAAGATAATCCTGGATGCCGATCAGCTTATTACCTCATACATCAGAATAGTGATGCAGTGGATTCCAGGTCACTCCGGCACACCAGGTAATGACAGAGCTGACAGATTGGCAAAGAAAGGAGCAACACAAGAACAACCACCTACAGCGACAACCCTCCAGACAGCAAAAACACTGATAAGAGCTATAAACAAAGAGACTTGGTTGAACAGATGGGCCATGGGAGACACTGGAAGAGAGGTTTATAGACATATGTCTGGCCCTGATCCTAATGACAGCATTAACCATCTAACAAGAAGGGACCAGGCCACCATCTTCAGACTTAGAACGCAACATACTCCACTCAATGGACACCTAAACAGAATACAGCCACAACACTCCCCAGAGTGCCAGCTATGTAACTACCCCTACGAAACTGTTGAACACCATCTCTTTGAGTGCCCAAAACTCAGTGAGACAAGAAGAACGCTACTCCCTCCGAGACCAGACAAGTGGAACACCTTGTACGGAGGAAAAGAACAGCTTGTGAAAACATGCAAATTCCACTACATGGCATTGGGCCAAAGGGCGAAAGCTCATGCGCCGCTGGATCGATAACAACAACAACAATGAGATCTTTTCCTGCCCTGACACCATGAGACATCCCAGAAGTAGTGGAAAGTAGCGAAGAAGACCCTACATTTGACTGGGACACTACTAAGAAGCCATGTTTTGTCAGGTGACACTAGAATTTATCTACACTGGAAACAGACACTAAAACCTCTATTTGGAATTGACTGACAGACTCCAATAGGGTTTTGTTCAATTGGATATTTTCATGTTTGTCCAGCGGTGATGATTTCATACTTATTAGTTTTAAAAAATCGGCTATCCTCTGAATAACGTCCCAAATTATTAGGGCCAAAAATATAGTCTTAACAGGGCCTCAGTCACATGTAAATTGCAGACATTTTCCAGCGACTACACAGCATACCGCTGAGAGTATCTCCCACGCCGCTACACAGAGTGGGGCTAAACTAGATGGCTAAGACTTACAAGCAAATAAAATGAAGGAAGCTGCAGGAGATGCGGTAGCTGCTGCTCGTGAGTCCAAGCCACTAGTTTAGCCCTGCTCCTTGGTAGCGGCCCGGAAGATACTCTTGGCGGTGACTTTAACTCAGGGAAAGCTTTTTGGCGGTATGCTAAGTGATCGCCAGAAAAGGTACACAATTTACATGTGA